CGAGCTGACTTGAATGGCCACCTGAAGGCCCTTAAAGACTATTTTCTTTTGGCAAAAGGAGATTTCTTTCAGGTAAATTATGAACTGTTGCATATCTAGTGTCTTGGCATGCACTCATTTATAATTCAATCTGCACTTTTTTCTTTTCCGGTGAAAGTCAATCCGCACTTCATTTTGAGAAATATGATATTTATTTTCAATTTTGTTTGTCTGGAGAGAGAAAAGGAGTCTACAAATTTCATTAGTCACCACGTAAGAAAGTAGAGGGGAAAAGGATGTGTTTTGAAATTTCAATTTCAACTATTTATCCATGAGAAAATGGTTTTGATAACGTACTTCCTCTGGCTTTTCCCCCATATGAGCTTGTTCGTTGACATCTTTTCATGACTCATGATAATTTTTCCCTGTAGTGTTTCCTTGAGGAAAGTCGCCAATTAATGCGATTGCCACCACGCCAATCAACTGCTGAAGCAGATCTTATGGTCCCTTTTCAGTTGGTTTGTCTAACTAATGACTTATGGCTCAGTGTTTCTCATGATCATATGTAAGCAGGGTAATTGAAATTTCTTGACTTTGTAGGCTGCAATAAAAACTATTGGCGAAGAAGACAAATACTTCCCTAAAGTATCCTTGCGGTTGGAATTCAAACTCATTTGTTTTTCATTCATGTGATTTTGTTTTGAGGAATTATTAATTATGTACGCTGAATTGTCTTTCTTCTCTTCTAGGATGCCTTCTTTTGGAATTTCAGTCAAATCTTCCCAATCAGATTTGCCAAAGGCAACAGCTTATGCAGATGTTAGTTCTGGTTCTTCACTTTCAAATGCTTCTTCAGAATTGTCACTTGATGGATGGGATGGCATTGCTCTTGAGTACTCTGTTGATTGGCCTTTGCATTTGTTTTTCACTCAAGAAGTCCTCTCTATGTAAGATTCTAAATCTCTTATCCTCCTGCCGCTTGAAGTGGATTATTTTCTTTTCTAAGTTGTTTCATTGTATATAGCATCAATCTTTGTTAACCCCATTGCAAAGAGTGAGATGAAAATTACACTGTTAAACATCTTGGAGGGTTTAATTTATTGTTTTTCAACTTGATATACTGAGTTTGAGACAACTGAGCTTTAGAAGAAGGTAAACTATCCATCAAATTTTTTTAAAATAAGCATTTCAACAAATTCCACTTTTGGATCTTAATTTCACATCATGTAGGTCATGTTCATAAATTTTAATATTAATAAGAAATTAGTTTCATGTTTTTAGACTTTGAACTTACTCATAATCATTTATTTGAATTTGGAATGCTTAATCAAAGATAATATCTCATCATTCATGTCATCTGTAAATGATATTTTGACAGGTACCGTAGAGTTTTCCAATACTTATTGCGGCTCAAACGGACACAAATGGAATTGGAGAAATTGTGGGCATCTGTAATGCACCTTGGTCACAGTGATTTTGCCAAACGCCGTAAGGGGCGAGATAAGGGCTCAATAACACAGCAGACGCGTCAGCGGCTTCAACCAATGTGGCATGTTAGAGAGCATATGGCATTCTTGGTCAGAAATCTCCAGTTTTATATCCAGGTTGTCATTTATGTCTTTTTTTATTTCTGTGAAATTTATGAAATTATTGCTATCAATATTATGCAATAAGCTAGTTTGGTCTTTTCATTTACTAATAAAGCATTTGAAAAGTTAATGATCATACACTAATAAGTTTATGACGCGGACATTGTCAATCTAGTGAACTTACCAAGAAAGAAAATGAATTTATGAGAGTTGATGAGAAATTGAGGGACTACTGATGATGTCTAGCTCTTGATTTTTCATAAATCCCTTTGTGGTAAGTCCAGAGGTAGAGCTTCCAACTAATGGAGCCTGAAAAATGTATAGGTGATACCTTATACATTTCCTTAGTTGGAATCTGATGTAAGTTTCTGAATGCTTTTCATTCTTAGTTGATACTATAAATTATAATCTTCTTTATTACCAATCCTATTTTCTTCTTGCCGAGTATTCCTCTGCCTGTTGATAATATGTCATCCTTGGATATCTATATTTTTTTCTTCTCAATTACCAAAATAGAATTTTTCAAATTCAAAATTTTGTTCTTTTCTTTGCAGGTGGATGTGATAGAGTCTCAGTGGAATATATTACAGACGCATATTCAAGAATCTCACGACTTTACAGAACTTGTGGGCTTCCATCAAGAGTATTACACTTTAACATCCTCCTTCTAAGTTGTTTCATTTTATAGTTACATAAAATAGTTTTTTTTGGTGTTTGATAAACTCTTTCACATGTATAAAATCTTGATTTACGTGATTATATTTGTTAGAATTGGATACTAGTTGCTAACCACCAAATCAGTAGAAATCAGTAGAACAAATATCCCATTGCTTGCGGACCTTGTCATGTTAGGGCCTGGATGTCCACGTTTAGAATTTGTCTGTCCGTATATTATGGCAACAAAGATGTCAAATTTTAACTACAAAAAAAAAAAAAAACTGTCAAATGGTTTCTGTGCATCAGAAAAAGTATTCGCATTTGGATAATGATTTCTGTTTAGTGATGAGAGTAAGAAAATAGGTAACACATAATTCATTTTCTCTAGAACTGGTTCCCAGCTTCCTGGGTGGCCTCCTGATTATGCTGATGCTGTTACAACCTCCCCCCCCCCCCCCCAAAAAAAAAAAAGAAAGGCCAAAACCAAAAAAGAAAAACAGAAAAAAACCACGCACACAAAAAGAAGCGATTCTGGCTCTCATTACTTGTTTCAACAACATCACCTTTATATTTTAATGTGTTCTCCAGGTATCTGGCAGCCTTAATTTCACAGTCTTTCTTAGACATTGGTTCTGTGTCAAGGATACTGGATAGCATCATGAAGCTTTGCCTGCAATTCTGCTGGAAATTGAAAACCTAGATAGCTATTCAATACATCTGAACTGGAACATATAGCGGAGGTAATTATAGAAACTCTATGTAATTTTCCTTTGAACTTACTACATGAAAAATGCATTGACGATGAAAAGGACAAAAAAAAAAAAAAATAGTAGCCAATAATGGAGGCATGCTGATGCATTGAGAAGTGAGAACTCTAGATGTGCTTCGTTCAAATTGACCATAATACAGATATAAAATTTCTACAAGGAACTGGTTGTTGACTACTGAACAATATTGATCAATAACTCTTGGATTCTTAGAGAAATAGTTGGGAAATAATGATATATAGTGACATATGATGCATTTGTTTGTGGGCATTAAATGAATGAGATCTTCCCTCCCTACTAATGATTGAAATTCTCTTTCAATATTTAAAACAATGAATGACCATTTTGTCTTTATATTCCTAAATGCATATTTTCAGAACTAGAACTTTCTATATCATCAGATGCGTTCCCCAGTGACACTAGTTTTGGTCGCCTAAGTTGTTTTCATTAAGTGACAATTTGGGCTGATTTTCATGAGCAGGTCTATTGCCTGGAAGTTACCCACTCATTTGCTGTGTCATTTTTCCCCATTTGCTTTATTTCCCCCCATTTTATTGTACTTCCCCAGGTCGTTAGTTGCGCATCCTATCTCCAGAACCAGAATCAGTCATCCTCCTGTGATTACCTTGAGCCATGATTTTCGTGCTACATGGTGTCATCTTTTCATTACTGTTCTCTCAAACTTGTATCAGGAATTCAACAAGAAATCAAATTCGTTATACACAATACTGCGCAGCAGCAGGCTAGCTGGGAGTCAGCGGGCTCCATTTCTAAGACGTTTTCTCTTGCGGTTAAATCTGAATTCATTTTTTGAGGTACATGAGATCAGCGGACCTCAGTTTATAAGTAGTTTATCTGTCTTGCTTATCTCATCCCTTACCATGGCTGTTCTTTTTTTTTTTTTCACTTCATAGGCAACTGCAAGAGGCGTGCTAAATGTTGTAAGACCACGCCCCGCACTCCCTGTTCTAAATCAGGAATAGGTCATTCTGCCAAGGTCAAAGCGGCTCAAATTTCTGCTGATACTCTTGACCCTGGAGGGCAAGTTTCTTGGCCTTCACTATAAACAGTTTGTTATCTATATGGCATGCACGTGTCATCATCGGCGGATCCTCTATGCTGCCATCGTCCTTTGCAAGTCGGCTGCACATGTTGCTTGTAATTCCGACAAAGGGTTCTCAGTCGAATACTTAACTAATGTATTTTAATGGCAAAGGCTGGTCGGATTGCAGGTACTTTGGCTGGTGGCCGGGGCCATAATATTACTCTCCGTTGTGTGTGTGTGTGTGTTTTTTTTTTTTTTTTAAATTGTTCGTAGTGTGGATGGCACGTTGGCACGGGCTCTCCTATTCGCTGTTTGGTAGATGTGAGCAGTGATCGCTTTGTACGTAATTATTCTGTAATCTGTAGTATGACGAACTGGCGGCATGCAATTCACATATGCCTTCGATGAGTTGACAAAAGCCCTCTTTAAGTGCACGTAGTTACTGGCATCTTTTCCTTGTTACAGTATTGATGGGTGGGTTCATTGTGAATTTTCACTTCCACGTTTGATTTATGGCTTCTCTTTTGGATAAGTTAAGTTCAGATGAATTTTGAGTTTCATCAAGGTTATGACCGGCTTCAGAGTTTTAAAAAATTTATTTATAAGATATCCACCTATAAGGCTTTCAGCTCCGGAAATGAAATCTGACCTTGCATCTGTACTGTATGGATTAATTTTTTTGCCAATTTAACCAGTTTTGGTTGACTTCTACATCCTCATTTCGTTTGAAAAATATGGGCTCAGAGCGAATGCTAGCGTTTTATGAGAGAAGAAATCGAGGGATGGGCTTCTGCAATTCAACTCTCGAACCTGGAAGTTGTGCCCAATTTCCGCGCAACGAAAAGTTAAACTATTTATAAGCACTATTAATAATAATTACCTGCGCAATTTTATTTTTTCCTTTCAACATATTTCCATATATCTTAAAATAGAAAAACATTTATGTCGCAAAAACAAGTATGATAATAAAACAAACTTCTAAGCTATTATCATCCAACGAAAAGATATATTTGGTTTCATTTTATCATAAAAGTGCACAAATCCGTAACATTAAGGGAATAAATCTAGAAGGCCAAAAAAAAGGAAGAACTCAGGGTTTTCATAAACGGAGGCAGGGATATGTTTTTTTTTTTTTTGGACCTTGGACTTGTCTGCCTGGGTTGAAAATACAAGTGCTACAGCTCTTCAAAACCTTCTTCATCCCCTTCATCTTCCACCCTTTGAAATTCTCTTCTCCATGTTTCCATCTGCCGGCAAGTCAGCGACTCGAATTATTCGATGAGAGAGAGTAAGTATAGAAAAAGAGGAAGTGCACATGTCTGCACCAAGAATATGCTTCAAAGGCAATAATCTTGAGGTCAATTAACTATCTCAGTCCCTCAGTAAGGTGTAAACGGACCCCTATGACTAAATAATATATTCGATGCTTCACCTGATCATCAGAAAACCGTAGCTGTTCTGCCACAAACAGCATATTAGTGGAGCGTCTTGGAGCAAATTCCTTGCCTGCATTTTCTGCAATTTCTTCGTCACTAATCAATTCCACCCGAAAGCCATTGCTCATGAACAGTCTATCCATCCATTGCCAAGTGCTGAACTCTGCCTGGAGTCAGAAAAGATTTTTATTTTCTGTTTTCGAAGAAAATCATTTAGAATTAAACTTGATGACACTTGACAACTGATTGCGGATTTTGACAAAAAAAAATCCAAAAAAAGAAAAAGATAACTGATTGCACATTGACCTTGGTTCCTGTTCCTGTCTCAGCTAACCAGCCAGGCAACTCTCCTACAAATAAGCATCCCTTCATGGCCAAACTGCTTACCATTGACAAAACGTCTTCAAAATTTGCCAATGTCATTATAGGAAACCCCTGCAAGAAGAAAACTACATAACTTTCCCCCGACTATCTCAAGTAACAGGGCCTTCTTCCCTTCGTACTTCCATTGCCATGGAACTCTGCTAGTCTCTGGAAAAAGATTTTTATTTTGTTTTCGAAGAAAATCATTTAGAATTAAACTTGATGACACTTGACAACTGATTGCGGATTTTGACAAAAAAAAATCCAAAAAAAGAAAAAGATAACTGATTGCACATTGACCTTGGTTCCTGTTCCTGTCTCAGCTAACCAGCCAGGCAACTCTCCTACAAATAAGCATCCCTTCATGGCCAAACTGCTTACCATTGACAAAACGTCTTCAAAATTTGCCAATGTCATTATAGGAAACCCCTGCAAGAAGAAAACTACATAACTTTCCCGACTATCTCAAGTAACAGGGCCTTCTTCCCTTCGTACTTCCATTTTTTTTTCCGATGGAAATCATATTCAAATACTAGTCTCTGGAAAATGATTCTGATTTTGGTGTTTCAAATATTGATAGATTTAGACACCTGCATGATCCACACGCTTGGCCTGCTGCCATTAAAGCCCTTGGAATGCAAACTTTGCTTTAAATCTGATGATTCCATTGGTACATGCAAGTATAAGCAACTTCTAGGAATCTTAGCCCCAACACCTGAAAGCTTTAAAGGGAAAAAAAAATGCAATTAGATGATCCCATGTGCCTCCCTACCCATCCACTAGGGTCCCCCCAAAACACACCCATAAGAAGAAGAAGAAGAAGAAAACAAAAGAAAAGCAGTCTTGTAAAATCAGAATGAAAACGCGTTGCATGCGTTAATAATTAAAAACAAGCAAGCACACCTTCTCAATTACAAGAGTATTATGTTAGGTCTATGTGCATTACCAGAGAAAAAACGACTGCTTGCAAAATAAAACAGGTTGCTAAGAAGCCTCAAAACAATATATACAACATTATAGGATCCTGAACTTTCTAAGACAAGCAACTATAGGTAACTTTCCTAACCTAGAAGCAAACCTTGGTTTTATGGACTTTGCAGTCATAACGCTCAAAAGTAAATAATTGGCACGTCTAGAGTGCATTCGGGTAAACAGCGCATTCCAATTCTCACCATTGTCCTCAAGATCAATATTAGACAGTGTTAGCATAAATATTTTACTTCACAGACCAAAAATCATTTGATTTGGCCAGCTTATGTCACCTTCAAGCTTCTCAGCTGCTGTTTGGAATACTCTTTCTGGCGATATGTCGAATAGCCTGGTTGAAGGAGGCCAACTAAGTCTGTACGGCCGTGTATCCATACCATCAGTCAACAAAACTACCTGCAATTAGAGCAAGAACCCCGTCAAAAACTTGAAACGAAGGTTACATAGGGGGGGACAAAGCTTTATAATTACCTGTTTAAGTCCATCAATATGGCTAACAGTCCAAAGTAGCTTATCATCAATGAATTTAGTTGCAAGACAATAAGGGTGAGAGTCTTGGTCTGCATCCTTCGAAGTATTTGGAGGCACAAGACAATCGGCATACGGGTCCACAAACAGAGGGTCTGCACTTGCGTGGAAGTGACACTATAAGTGTTCTCTTATTGTAGATGATATCGTTAGTTTATATACAAGTAGTCGGAGTCCTAAGCTAGTTACAACTGACCATAAATTAGCTAACTGAATAACTACTGTGCATGTGACTATACACGTGATAAAATATCATTTATGCTCTGGTTGCTGTCTTCAAGATGCTTGATGAAATGTCTGAGATAGCCAGATAAAAGTTAGCCGAAATAAATCAGAAAGGCAGAGAGAGATTGATTTACGTGGTCGATGCGATTCCTGGTAACGAAGAGAAGCAGAATTGCTGGCAGCGAGGAATAATGGGTCATTGTCCTCGTTGAGTTTCATTGCAGAAACGCAGACTTTTCTGGTAAAGGAGTAGCTCAGTCGGGGTCGCATATAATCAATAGCAGGTGGTTTTGCGAAATACATAAAGCATTCCGAATGAGTGAGTTTCATCTTTCACCAATGACGCCTTCGAATTGAAGCTTTATCTGATGTCGTCTTCTTGATTTCTTCTACATGGAGAAACCGTTGCCGTGCTTGTGCCGATCCAACAGGAGGCTCACCTTTCTTCGGTTATATGTGGTTTTGGCTTATAGCATCCATTATCCAGGAGAGTCAAACAATGTTATCCCTCTCCCCTGCTTGAGCTGCAGTTTCTCCTCATCAGAATCATCATAATCATATGTCTAAAATATAATAAAATAATTTCTACTGATTTCTTTCTCTCTTTTTCTTTTTCTTTCCTTTTTTTATCCCTCGGAGAGGGAAAACACTCGAGTCAAATCACCTAACGCATTTGCTATTCATTCTTATTCGTAAGGAATATATTCTGAAACATATTTTATTTTATTTTTTTATCATATTATACTGAAAATAACCTTCGAAAGGAGGACAGCCTTAGCGTAGTAGCTGTGCTTGTATCATTTAAGAAGTCAAAATGGCTCCCTTACAATCAGCCAATGGATAGCCTTTAAAATTGTGAACCACAAAAATCAAAGCAGTCTAATGCTGTCAAAAAGTTTTAACTTTTTTGAGATTTTGATTAAAATTAAAATTCTTGAGGGTGTTATGCCCGTCAAGTGCAAATGATTCCTGGTAACACACGAGAACAAAGCGTTAAAATAGAAAATTTGGAGAATAGAGCGCGTCAGTGTACTCATATGGCCATATTATCAATTTCCGTTGGATTTTGTACGCGACCGAAGGCTGTGAAAGTTGGAAGTCAGTACATGATAGATAATAAGAGGTTAGGTAAATGGACGTCATCCTCAATAGATACGCCCAGACCCTCTTTAAAACCCCAGAAATTGCGTAGTTAACAAATAGAGCGAGTGCGAGAGAAGCCGCTAAGCTGGGCTTATCTTTGACGCCACGATCGTCTTCCAAAATCCTTGAGAGAAAATGGATTCCAATCTCCCAGTGGCGGAGAACCAAGACCTCAAAGTCGAGGAAGAACAAAACCCACATGCGGTGGTGCCTTCCAAAGAAACCGCCGTACCTCCATTTGCTACTGCCTCACTCTCCCTCTCTCTGTCTACTATTCTCCCCTCTCACTTTTTCGCTCAACCCAAAACTTCTGCGTTATTCTCGGCGCACCCCAACAAGGTTAAGGTCCCTACGCAGGCTTCCTCGCTCACACACCTCTCTCTTTCCACTACTTCTTCTCCTCCGCCTTCTAAAATCTCCTTCAAGTCCACCATCTCCGCTAATCCCCTCCAGAATCCTCTCACTTTGGGTCCTCACCGCCCCTTAGACCCTTCCAATGGGGCCGCAATTCGCCGAACTTCCATTGTATGGTTCCGCAATGATTTACGGGTCCACGATAATGAATGCCTTAACTCCGCCAACAACGAATCCATGTCGGTCTTGCCGGTTTATTGTTTTGACCCCAGGGACTATGGGAAATCATCATCTGGGTTCGATAAGACCGGGCCATACCGTGCCACATTCTTAATCGAATCGGTCTCGAATCTTCGCAAGAACCTTCAGGCAAGAGGGTCTGATCTTGTGGTCAGAGTTGGGAAGCCTGAGACTGTATTGGTTGAGATAGCTAAGGTGATCGGTGCTGACGCGGTGTATGCACACAGAGAGGTTTCCCACGATGAGGTGAAGGCTGAGGAGAGAATTGAAGCGGCTCTGAAGGAAGAAAATGTGGAGGTTAAATACTTCTGGGGTAGTACTTTATTCCATGTCGATGACTTACCTTTCAAATTGGAAGATATGCCTACGAATTATGGAGGATTTAGGGAGAAGCTACAAAAGTTGGAGATAAGGAAGACAATTGAGGCACTGGATCAGCTGAAAGGACTGCCATCTAGAGGAGACGTGGAACCTGGGGATATTCCCTCCTTAGTGGACCTTGGCCTGAATCCATCCGCGGCAATGGCACAGGTTTTGTTTCGTTATCACTCTTATGACTTACTCTGTTGTTTTGTCTAGCTGTAGACATTATTATGTATTGCATGCCTGTTCTTGTATTGCTCTTAAATTGGACTAACTAAGCATTTTGGTGTCTCAATGGTTGTTTCCACTTACCGGGATGTTGGCTGAGATATGAATGGAAGCGAGAGTCCCCTTTTTTTTTTTTTCTTCCCTTTCTTTCAATCTTAGAGTGGAAGTTGAGTTATTGTTATTCCGCTCGTAAGACATTTTTAGTACTGTGGTGCTGTAATATGTATCTAAATGATTCTGCGCTTGACAAATATGAGACATTGGATATAGGCACTAAGCAATGACAGCCAAAATCTTGCCTTGATTGCTTAGCTGCGCATTCTGGCGTGCTATATGAGTTTCAACCTCTAGGTCAGAATTTCGGGCTGTACCAGACAGTTATCCCATCATCTCTGCCATTCTGTGTTCTCTAACGTCCAGATGGCTTTTAAATCTTGAATTTTATGCTGCCCTAATCTTTGCTTGGTATTCTTGTCTGTCATGGAGAATGAGCATGGATTGTTTGTAATGAAGTCATGGCACCCTATATTAGTTCTGAAGAAGAACTTGATTCTGCCTTTCCTGAAAATGACTATATTGCCGTATTCATCATGTAGAATGGGAAGTCAGCTGCTAATACCTCTATGGTAGGAGGGGAGACTGAAGCATTGCAGAAGCTCAGAAAATTTGCAGCTGAGTGTGAAGCTCAACCACAGAAGGGGCTTGCCGATGGCAAACAAGGAAGCATATACGGTGCCAACTTCTCCTGCAAAATTTCTCCATGGTTGGCGATGGGATGCCTCTCCCCACGCACAATGTTTGATGAACTAAAGAAGACCGCCGGCAGGTGCGCCCTCAGATAATACTCCTTTCTAATGATATTTACATTATCACTTCTCTTGCTAATAGGCTTTATTCTATTGAGCTCACAATTGAATTGCATGACTGACAGAACGATTTCTGCTTCATCAAGCCAAAACAATGGTGGCGGCAGTATATCCAATAACGGAACCAACTGGTTGATGTTCGAGCTGTTATGGAGGGACTTCTTTAGGTAATTTGAATCGTTACTCTCTCTTAATCTCTAGAACTTGGATGTAGTGTGACACTTTGTTACATGATAACGAGTTGCAATTGAGGTTATCACGTCCTTTTTCCTAGAAATGTTGGGGCCCTGTGGATCATGATCTGATCATAGCTTTTTGGTCCGCCTTTTCTGAAGTCATGAAAATGAAATGCTTCTGATTATTGCATTAGTTTACTCAGTAATCTACTGGCAACAAGCACTTTTTAGGCTTGTTCCGTAGTATGGTTCTCCCAAATTTCTGTTCAGTTCATTGAAAACAAACATATTCTGATGAAACTTCTTCGCAAGCTGTTCTCCTGTGATTGTTTGTGGAAACTCTTTCTGAGAATGAATGGCTGATTCGTCAGAATGATTTTGTGAAATGTGTTTGTGTGGGTTGAGTCCAGGTTTATTACCAAGAAATATAGCTCAGCAAAGCAGCAGCGTGAAGGCGCTCCCGCAACTGCATGTACGGGCGCCCTTGCTTAAGTTGTGGATCTCTTGTTGTGTAGATGTAGCTGTGGGGCTTGTGAGGGCGGTTGTATGAAACAGAGATTTGGCTGTGCTGCTGCCAACCCTCCTACTATAATTGTTGGCGAATAAGTTGCCTGAGTATCCAAGCTTGACACTGGACTTGGTCATTCTGTTCATAGCATATCTTAGCTTCATTTTTCGCCTATCTTACTTCACTAGAAGAGTTTTATCAGTATGTTCTCTGGAAGACTTCCCCATTGTTGTAATGTGAAATGTATTCCATCTGGAACCAAGCTTTTTCACTCCCCCATTTGTTACACCCTTCTGGTAAATGTAGTCGAAGGATAAACTCGAGACAAGAAATATCGGAAAGAATCGAGGCGCAAAACTCTTGTCAATTGTGAGCACTCCGAAAACACTCGTTTTAATGGCACAAGTTTTAATCGCACAGATTAAAAAAAATATTTAGGTGAAAACATTTTAAAAATACTTTTACAGTATATAAAGTAAAAAAGTTTATTTTAATTTGCGGAAAAGAAAACATTTTTAGCTAGATCCAAACACTCCAAGTGTTGGACTGGGGAATCGCACCTAATTCTCAAGATACGAGAGGGTTGGCATAAATTGGAGTAGGGTTTACATTGGATTACAATTTTTTTTTACAATAAAGAAATAAAACAAAGAGCAAGAAATCTTAACAGGTCGCACTGGAACCAAAGAACTAAATACAGTGGATGAAATGAAAGAGATCCTGGACTCCCGGTGAGGGCTCTTTTCGCCTGTCATGGTGCAGAATATTCCTGGGTTTGGAGCACTTCATTTCTTTTGCGATGTGTATGTATCATTGCGGCCTTCAATCAAATTGTCGTGGCGGTCTCGGACAACTCCTCCGCATGCCGCCTTATCTGATCGTTCCGACCAGGCACCATCTACAAATACTTTGATCCAACTTCCGTTGAAGTGGTTTGCGCTCGAGTCTGCTGATTGTTCGCTCCATTTAGCTTAACCTCCTTGAGTTTCGTGTTAGCTCGCTGCGTCGATCGCAGAACTGCTGGACTCGTGAGGTGTCAATTTTCAGATCAACATTTTCAAACACCCTCTCATTCCTGCTCCTGCGTCTCCATAAGAGCCAGCAGAGCACTGCGATTTTCTCCGCCCAACTTTCGTCCCTCTTGCCAACAGCTTCAGTTAGATTCATGACACACTAGCCCCATAAATTCGCATTCAAAAAACCTGCTTCTGTTTCTGGAATGAATCGACAGCCAAACAAATTTTTTACCTCTCGCAGTCACGGAAAACATGAATAATTGCTACCGTCTTAAAATTTTGTGTGGTATAATTTTATTTATTTATTTATTTTCACCAGCATGGTGTAATATTGTTCTTAAAATATCTTTTAGGAGTAATTTTAATCTCATTATTAAGCGAATACCGTCACACAACATTGAAAGGTAATTTGTTTATGCAATCTGTTCTTGGGTTAACGGGGTTTTTGGAAGTTGACGGTCAATTGCTCCTAAAAAAGTTTTGAGAGCAAAATTACCATTTAAAAACAAAATTACAGCACAAAGTATTTTAAAATACTAAACTCACCTAGAAAATACTTAAGGTGAAGCCTGATCGATTTTATAAGCAGGGGCTTTTGAGAATTAATATGCCAGAATTTTTATTTTCCAAAATAATATTTTAAAATGTTTATTCTACCTTGCGCCTATTCTTCCATTTCTCTGAGTATGTCTAGGATCCATTTCTCAGAGTCTTTAATGATTGCCACTTGAAGCATGCTTTTCTCAGACATTATTGAGTAAGAATCTAGCTAATGTTTTAATAGAAGATACTGAGAAACCAGACATGACAATAATGGAGCAAAATTGTTTGTCCGTTTTATACGCATTTGGTATCAGATCAGATCTATCATCTTATTTTAACGACATTTTCAGCGTGATCATGGATAAATGACGTTTTTGATTTTGTGATGCCAAACTTGTGCGATTATTCTTCGACCCTACAAATACTTTTTTGCAATTTGCATCGTCTCGAATAATCCAAATTTAATACAATTTATTTTTATATTTTAAATAATTTAGTATTTTAATAAATACAAAATTTAAAATAAAGAAAATTTCATAAATATTACTTATAAAAATATGATTTTATTTAAAACTCAATTAAAATTTTAAATCTGACCAATGAAAATTATATCTTGGTAATGCAAATCTTACCATTCTACTGTTAATGAGCACCATTATGCTGGCCCAAACCCAACCCACTACGTTGGATGTCTTATTATAGAGGGAGAAGTTCATCTTCCATTTTTCAATTATTAGACTGATTTTAAATGTTGTTAACATTTTTTAATAGTGGAGAAAGATTCTATAATTTTTAGATTGATGAATTGGAAAAGGATGAGTATTATTTCGATAAGTAAAAACATTTGAAATAGGTTAATTATCTGATGGCGGAAAAGGCAAAATGTAAATTATCAATAGGAATCATGAATTTCAGAAATCCGGGGGGGGGGGGGGAAGAAAAGAAAACAAACACTCGCAGAGGGAGAAGAGAATGACAGTTGATTAATTTTAATCTTGTCAGTACTCATTTTTTATATTTTTAGTATTTAAAAAGAGTGCTGATAACAATAAAAACAGGCAGGAAAAAAAATCCAAATTGAATATCGAGAAAAATAAAAAGATGAATAATTTCAATCTACTTAATTCACGTTCCATTTCTAATCACGGGTTACATAATACATAAAAAGAAAGGTGGAGAAATAAGAGAAGGGACATGATTGAAGGTTTTAGCATGGATGAACAAACCAAAATCATAAACCTATGTGAGGCAAAAGGAGAGAAACTGAAATATAATTTTATATGACCCCAGAAACCCGGAGAGAAGATAGCAGAACAAAAATGATCCAGAGCAACATGAAATATATGCAGGTAAGCCACGCCCAGCGCCTTGGCCCTCCAAGCTCTGCACCAAAAACTAGACGCCTAATAACCAAAACCGTGATGCACCCAAAAGAGGTAACGAAGAAAACAAGCAATGAAAAGCTTAGGCTTGAGGCATTCTGGATCCGCAGAGGCTGTCTATACGCTAGAAAGTTATATGCGGTGTCAATCAGCCATGGAACCCCAATGCCCACGTATATATTCACTGAATTACTGCCAAGCCACAAATATAACATCAAGTTAGGAGCTTCCCACAAATTTTGATTTCTTCTTCGTAAAAGCAGCCATGATTAACTTGGGAAACTAATAAAATATCAAGATTTTGGTCTAAAGATTTTCTTAAGTCAGAAACACGTAATCACGCCAATACGGTAACACCAACAGGTTGAATCAGAAGTTGGCCCCAAAAAAAAAAAAAACAGGTTGAATCAAAAATCCGAAGTAATGATTCTTTTTTCACCGTAAAAATTAGGTGTTATAGGAATATGACTGAGAACTGTCTTCAACGAAATGATGCAACTATGTGAACATGTCCTAGAATGAGATGCATATTAGGAAGACCTGCAAGTGATGTTTGCGATGGCAGAGTCCGCAGTTGTTTGGCGTTCAGCAGCTATCTTGCTTGCTACTAAATCAGGCCAGGAGGTTCCGCTGGCTAATGCTGTAAATGCTATGACATAAGGATTTATTCCTGCAAAACGCGAAAACTGAGAGAGGGACACAACAAATAGATGGAGAAATAGATGGTCTTATCAAAAACAAATGAACGAAGAATTGACAGCCATATAGACGACTTTGAATAAAAAATTCACTGTAGTAGAACGGACTAGAAAGTAGGGATGAGTGAGAAAGAAACCTGTAACACAACTAATCATATCTGTAAGCTTAGTCACGATGTAAGCTATCCCACTGATGAAAAGTAGAGAGCAGATGAATGAAATCCAACCATGAGCTATATGACATGGAGGAACAATAGCAAACAGAAGTCTCCATGGTAAAAGGAGCAATTGCCAGAAAATTCTAGCTGCGCGGAGATAGATGTTGTCCAGCTTTTTTGAATTTTTGCTTTCCAACTGTTGAAGAAGCAGAATGGTCACCAGAAATCAAAGGTATAAACTTCGTCCTCTCATAACTCATTCAACATAAAATGACAAAATATACTAATAAACAGCAAATACTATTGTTTCTAAGTAAATTACAATCTCGACCCAAGATCTTCACAGTTGTGTAATACTTTTCTGAATGAGTCACAGAGCAAGCATTAACATATAAAATCTATAAGAAACTGCACCATTCTTAGGTCATAAGCAATGCGGTACCCATAGAGCTTTATGTAATTCTTTTTATTCTTTTAATCTTTCTGCAAACAATTCGCTGAGTTTTCAAAACATTTTGCCAGTAATCAATCTCTTTCTATACATTCTATCAAGGTTAATTCCAAAAACTTTCAAGTTATTATCCTTCTCAGACATCGCAAATATCTAGTTAATAACATCCATGAATCTATGAAATGACCCATTTAATTTTCAGAAGCTATGCTGTTTGTAACATAAAACGAATTACCATAATTGCATCCACAAATTGCTGTTTCCAAAGTCTAAGAAAATAAGTATCACCCAACACCGTTTCCGTAGCATCGTCAATGGTTTCAGCATCATTCTCTGTTGAAGGCACTCTTTGATACAAAGGATCTGCAAATGAGATAAATGTAACACAAGATGGTTCAAATAATTTAGAATGTTTCTAATGCTGAGCATATATATCCGCAGGAGAAAAAAAACTATTGTGATTAACAACTAACCCTTCATCACATTAAGCCCCGTCTGGTAATTGCCAGTCTCATTTTTTGAATGAATGGAAAAAATGTCGACAACATCCTTATTTTCTTCACTGTCATAAATGATCTCAGGGAACTCCTCATGGTCATGAGTTTCTTGTTTGGAAGAATCTGTCTCTTCCGGCACCCAATCCTCTGGCCTCTCACTTCTTGCACTTCAAATATCAAAGGAACCATCAGACTAAAGGACTGCAAAACCTCAACCAGTAGAGTGAATTTTAATAAAAGGAAACAGGGAAAGGTGCATACAGAGGTAAAGAAATATAAGGCCAACGTTTGTCTTGAGCATAAGCATGAATCAACAGCAATCCATACTGCGCTACTGTCAACAAGGCCTCCCACAAAGTCACCACATTTGGAGTCCATACCTATGTTGGACTATTTGATGAATATCCACAAGGAAAAATTGTTCTTTCATAGTTAAAGAAGCAAACAGGAAAATAAGATGGCACTACTCGCTGACAAAGGTGCATGGTAGTGCCTAGTACTATAAAAACACAAACCTGAGGAGATGCACAAGGACTTATACACGTTAGACGGGAAGGGGGGGGGGAGCACACCTATCAGCCAAGAGAGCAAGAAATAGTCCTTGAAGTTTTCTCGCACTCTCTTTCCAAATTTTCACATCAATGACAGATTCTACCAGGATTAGACCTCTTCGGAAGAATGAAGGATCAAATTGAGTATTTACAGATCAGGAAGTAAATCCATCAAGAAAGAGAAGAAGAAAGCAAGCAGTTCATTGCTTAGATTTTGAAACTGTTACCTCCAAAATTATGTATAACCAAATGTAAGCCCAGAAGGACCAAAATAATTCCACGAGCCATACTCCTAAATCAGCAATCTTTTTTAGCTCTCCAGCTTTTGGAACAACTACACAAACAGCATGGATTGGGAAAAGGTCGAAAGCAGCAGAACCAACAAGAGTTCCAGGACCCAGACCTGAATATTCAGCAAAGTTACAGATAATAATGAGATATTAAGTGACATCAATTTTATGTTCCACTTTCCTACCATCCATTGCACCTGATACATAGAACACCGTGTTGTCCAATACGAGCTACAAAATATCGCTTCACATGCAAAACATAGCTGATTTTATGCATGTACTCTTTGTCTTTAAATGGCAAGCTAAGAAAGTGTAATTTCAGACTATTGAAACTATTTTATAGAATTCAGCTTTTTGGCTACAGTAAAAATAGTAGCACCATGCTCTCTTTTTTTTTTTTCCATTTTAGACTGTTAAATTGAGATGATCCGGATTTTTTCATTTCTATTTTACTTTATTTTATTATGAATCTTTTCTTTTTTACAGTTGACATTTAAGACTTATTTTTTAAAAAATAAAGTAAAAAACTAATTTTTTGACAGTCCACATCTGTTGTGACCGTTCTATGACTACACAAATAATATATATTTCCTGAAGCTACTGTGATGGTACTTATGAAACATGAACAACCAGATTCAGATGCCTCTTCAGACTCTGTAAAGAGGTCGTTATAACAAGTTGGGAAAAAGTGTGACAATGAGAACCCAATCGCTGATATGCAAGTAACAACTATTCACCAAATGCAAGCCTGAGTGAGGAGATTAAAAAAGGACGGAGTAGTTAAATATATGGCCTCACCCGATTAATTATTCAAATATGGTATTAGGAGTAATGCCAAAGTAAATATATGACAAATAGCATTGAGAACTTATTACCCAAAATGGAAAAGCCACAAGAACCACAACTAGTGCAGAAGTGAAGCTACCATTTTGCCTAAACATGAAATCTATATCTGACTATGGAACTTAAGAGATAAAATCAAACTTGATTTTAATACGATATCATGGGAAAGGATATTTTGCAACACAAACCTCCAGCATACAGGTTTCCTATGTTTTGTATAGCATCAATGGTGGCCAATGATATCTGAGGAAAGCTAGTTCCGAAAGCCAGTAAGCTAATATCTGCAATTGTGTAATTCCATACTTTGTCATGTCTAATAACTTCAGCATGAGTAACGGGATCTATTTCTACCACCTCCCTTTTGTGCTTAACAATATTTTCCATAGAGCGGAAGAATCGAGCAGTTACAGCTGATAATCCAATGAAACAATAAGCAAGACCAAGAAAATATAAAAATGTCCGGAAGGAGTCTGCAAGGGCAGTTTCGCCGCTGAAAACCAAGTAGCTTTCACATTTCTCATGCTCCAGTATTCTGGAAACTCCTAGCATTCTTTCTTGCTTTGGTTAAATGCCGGCACCGCACCAATCAGTCCAGATTGCAGCGTTCAGAATTCCTGACAAAATAATTCAATAAGAAGACACAGTTAGGTCATCGAAACTATCTAGGCTTAAACGTAATATCCATTCAAGTAGAAAGAACAAGAAAGTTTATTGGATTAGTTAGTCGTGCAGAGGAGCTTGTCTCATGCAAATTTGTACTGAAGTAGTGTCAGAAATTGAAGACTTGAAAATTTTATTTTATTTTATGAAAGGAGAAAAACAATGGGAATTCCATCAATAGATGCAGATATAATATATGTGATGATTTTGTAAGCATGCTTATCAATAGTTAGACAATAAATCTGCCACAACAGGTCGTAATATAATTTGATAATATTCAGCAATGTCCCACTTTATTACGGCATGACCAGTTTGCAAACATTTTTTTCATGAGTGGGTAACAAAAGCAAACTTAATACATATCAGATTAAAATAAAGAAAGTAGCCAGCCAGTTTAGACAGTAAGGTAAAATTAAACAGCAAGTATTTATGACAAAGAGATGAGGTTGAGCCTTTGTTTATGTCTTAGCAATCCAGACTCAGCAAGAACAAAACATAAGACAATTGAACTCGAATTAATTCAAACTTCAAAGACTAGAGAACTTATATCTCTCAATTTCTCGCAGCGAATCGGCATGGTCGAATTTTGAAGAAAAAAGACAAATACTCGTTCCGGCTGTAAAGGTACAAGCTACCCAACTTAGTTCCAAAAAGTTAGTGAGTTATCTATTCATGAAAAAAAGTGTGTGTAGGTTTTCTAAATCATTTGTATTTGAAACTATTCGTGAATAGAAATCTCGGGAGTTGTGCTTTATTTTTTAGATATGTAAGACTGCCCAGCAAAGTTTCCGTGCGTCTCTCAAGGCTAAATTGGCGACTCAAATGACTTCCAACAAATGCAGGAAACTGAATTCAGAAGTTGAAACAGCGGAACTCAGTTGGAAGATGAGACCACCACGGTGGTCCCAGAACAGGGGAAGATCAAGTTCCAGAACAGAATTAAGAAAAAAAGGTAAGACTGACAAATGCCGTCGTAAGTCTGTCTGACGACGGCTGACGGACGATGATGAAGGATAAAGGACGGCGGAGGGCAGCCACAGATCCGAGAAGGAAGGCGAAGGCAAAGGCAATGGAGGAGGAGGAATAATGCCTATGCCCAGCGTAATCAAGTCGTTTGTGTCTAGTTTATACCATCGCTGTACGTGGGCTCTTGTGGGCTCTCTTCTGTCTCCCTCCTTCAATTTCCGCCTTGCTTCTGCTTCCTGCGAGTCGTGTGATCCGTTCGTTCCAAGGGACCGGGAGAGAGACGTACTGTGAATGTGTTCCCACCGCGGGAGCCCCTGCCCATTTTTGTACTAGAATTGATTTTTTTATCACTAAATTGATTCTGGAATCATTCAGGCGCGAGCTAAAAGTAAAATATTACCATCATTAAAAAAAAAAAAATTGCTTCACTGCAATAATGCAACCCTTTTTTTTTTTTGGCCAACTGCAATAATACAACTACTTATTATCCATCGGCGCGCGCGATTTTCCTCGGACTTGAAAATGAAGGACTTTGTACTAGCGTTCGCATTCCGTGCTCATCAGGCTGATGAGCACGGAGTGCTCAGCACTCAAAACGCTGTGAGTTTTGAGTGCTAAGCATTTTTATTTTTTTTTTACTTTATTTTGTTGTTGTAAAAAAATTTATACCATGTCAAATTATTAATATAAAAATTATCTTGATATTTAATTTAATCTTAAATATAATATTCTAATCTATTTTATCTCTTATATATATTTATTTTTTTCAATATAGTCCTTATAATAATTGTACGTGTTAAAGATTTAATCAATTATTGATTTTAGTTATTACACATAATTAGTGAGAGGCATTTTAGAGAAAACAACATTTATTTATTACAACTGACTAATTTAGCTAATTTTTGTAGTATACTTGAATTAGTTAAACTAACTCTTATATTAAGAATCAGAAGAAGTATGTATTAAAATTATTTTTGGTTAACATTTATCTAGTACTCAAAAATATTTTTTTAGATGTTTTCAATATCTTAAAGTATTTTATGATTTATTTAGTACCTTAAAATATTTTTCCACGTGCATTTAATGTTTTAAAAAATTTTCTATTTCTTGATATTGTATCATAAAATATTTTAGAATACTAAAAAATATTTCACAATACTAAATAAATCATAAAAGACTTTAGAATACTAGATCCTAAAATATGTTTTTAGGTAAGCCCAGTCACAAAGTATTTTAAAATAATGAACATATATGAAAAAATATTTTAGGTACCAAATAGATCACAAAATACTTTAAAATACTAGATTCTTAAATATTTTTTCAAATGCAGTGTTAGAAAATATTTTAGAACACTAAATACATATGAGAAAATATTTCAGGATATGATAAAATATTTTAAAATATTGAATATGTGTTAAAAAAAATATTTAAAAGTATTAGATAAACTTTAACTAAAAATAATTCTAATACATATTTTTTTTTGTAATAAAAAAAAAAGATCCCTCATGCTCAGCACTCAAAACGTCCACGTTTTGAGTGCTGAGCACTCCGTGCTCATCAAGATGATGAGCACGGAATGCGGATCCCCTTTGTACTAGCTCACTCGTATATCGTGTTTTGTGCTTTGGCTAAAACACATTGCCACGGATCCAAACTCCGAAGAATGAAGCCAAAACTGAACTCAATGAAAATTTAAGCGCGAAAAAAGATAAATGATAAATCACGGAAATAGTTTCGAGTAAATTTCAGTTAGCCCCTTCTATAGATACTCAATTTCCATTTACAATCTAAATAATCTGAATTTTCATTCCACCTCAACAATTGAAAAGAAGTTAAATTTTGCGGGTAAAATTACATTATTGCCCTTACTCAAGCTGAAAATGGCGATATTCCTATTGTAAATCACATTGTTTTGGTTGTAAATTCTTGTATTTTACTTGTAAATTATAACTCTCTCTAACTTGGTGCAAGTTATTCCAACTGTAAACGGTTGTATTCTTCTTATAAATTCTCTTATCTCGGTTATAAGTTTACGTATTCCATTTACGAAGCACAACTCATTGATATTGATTCTACCCAGTTGTAAATAACTTTATTCTTCTTATGAATTATCTTGTTTTGGTTGTAAATTCTCATATTTCACTTGTAAATCGTAGCTTCCTTACTTATTTTCATTTATAATGAATTACTCCAATTGTGTGAACTTTTTTGTCTTGGATGTGAATTCTTATGTATTAAATTTCTTGTGTTCTCCCTCTGGGTTATCATTGTTTTTTTTTTTTCACGAATTAATTTTACTTTATCCCAAAAAGGAGCTCTGAAATTTTAAAATTATATGGGGTATTTTGAAATAAAATTTCTATGGAGGGGTTAAATGAAATTCTCCATATTTTCTTCTCATTGTAACTTTTTTCCGCCGCAAAAACAAAAAGAAAAGAAAAGAAAAGAACTCCGACAGGGAAAAGGAGGCCCGAAGTTTCACTGCATAATAATCACTCTGAGCCAAAAAAAAAAAAAAACAAGAAGGAAAGGGCTGGGTGTGTCCTGTGGTGACCTCTGGTGTCCACATATGCGAATAATGAAATCTCCATCGACTTCATGCTACAAACAAAATAAATGAGAAAACATAACATGATCGGTCTCTTTTTACAAGAACCCAAAAAAACGAAAGAACACGATCACTTTATTAATTCCGTTCTTCTCTGGATTCTTGTTATCAGTTACTTCCTTCTTTGCCAGCCCATGGCACCTAGCAATTAATATAAGTACTGAAGCAGCTTCGCTCCCTTTTTGAGTTCGGCACAAAAATCAAGTTATTTGGAACATTAGAAGATTCCTATGAAAAATAGCTGCCTAACGTCGAGCCTGGTAGTAATATATGGTTGTCATTGGTATCATTCTCGACGTCCTCCAAATAAAAGGACTACTATTATTTTGAGCAATTCGGTTTGGCTCTGACTCATCACAAATTGAAGCCAAAAAAACAAAAAACCACGGAGAGAAAAACTAAACTCATCAATTTTAATGTCATGAAAATTAAACCACGCCTGACCTGCAATTGTTCCTATTCGGGTTGATTCGATATGTTTCAATTAATTTTATTTGGTTTTGAACATCATCAAAAGGGGCTACTTAACAAGGCAGGACTCTGCCACGCCCACAATGATTCTTCAAGGAAGAATTGCAACAATGTCCCGTGAAAGTAATAATTGAGTAGTTTATAATAATAAATTTTATAATAGAAGATAATCTCATTTATCACTGAGATTTTTTAATAATTATCTTTATTCTTTGAAATCTCATAATAAGAGGGTGTTTGGATAAAAACTAAATTATGATTTTAAAAGTGTTTTTATAGTATACGAAGTAAATATATAAAAAAGTTTGTCTCGTTTTATTAAAAAGTGTTTCTCAAGGGCAGCAAGTCTTCTTATTTTTAATGAGCAGCAAGTCCGCAACCAACCTCAAACTCTCCAGGGCCTTATCAACCATGAAGTTTTTTTTTAACTAACCGCTATTAACCATACTGTATGTTTTTTATTGGTTGATAAGAAAAATTAATACCCCATCTCTTGTTGTTTTTCTTAGCTTTACATCAGGTCTATGTGCCTTTCTCTCTCTCTCTCGCTTTTTATCAGTCTTTTAAATCTCTACTATTGAATCAGCTAATTATTAATATTGCTTCTGGTCTTAAATATAAAAGTTAGTTGACTAATTCGAGTAGATAAAAAAAATTAAGTTTGTTATTTATAATAAATAAATATTGTATTTTCTAAAACATCCTTACGAATTAAGTTTATTGGTTAAAACTATTATTATTATAACGACTACTTTAGGAAAAAATGAATAAACATGAGAAACAAAAATAAATTGGAGTATTATATTTAGAATCAAAATAAAAATCAAACGAGATCTTATGTTAAGGACCCGAGGTAATATATTAAATCATTAAATTGAGACCTACGGCGTTAAACCAAAAAAAAAAAAAACTAGGAATCATGATGCGGCGGACAGTTAGGTATATATTGACAAGGTGGAGATTTAATCGCATCTGATGACAAGATTTAAATTTTCATCATATTATAACAACTCATTTAATTTTTAATTTGATCTTAAATATAAGATCTTAATTTATTTTATCTTTTATATTTGTTCATTTTTTTCAACATAGTTCTTGTAGTAATTGCACATATTAAATGGATCATCAAATGATAATTCTAGCTAATATACATGATTAGTAAGGATATTATATAAAAGATAACACCTATTTATAATAAATAACTAACTTAACTAATTTTCTTAATCTTCCCAAATTAGTCAACTAAGTCTTATATTAAGGACTGATGGTAGTATAATACCACCTCCAATCCTTAATATAAGAACTTATTTGGTTTTTAATTTGATCTTAAATATAAGATTGTAATCCACTTTATCTCTTATATTTATCTATTTTTCTCAAGTTAGTCCTTGTAGTAGTTGTGTGTGTTAAATATTTCATCAAATAACACTTGATTAATAAGGGTATCTTAGGAAAGACAACACCGATTTATTACAACTTAACTAATTTTTTTAATCTATTCAAATTAACCAACTAGTTTTTATATTAAATAGTAGAGGTAGTACTCTAATTAGCAAATACCGACATGAAAGGATTGCACGTGTGCAGTATACTCATGATAATATAATCACACCTATAATCTGTTGACTAGAGCCTGTTGGAATAATTAAAAATAGTATTAACACGTGAATTGTATTAATTGTGTAAACAAGCAAATTGATTTAGTGAATTAAATATCAAGCCGGGACAAATTGGAGTTAATTTCGTGAGTATGTGCATAGGTAGATAGCATATGCGGGGCCGCTAGGTAGAGGTTCAATCTGCAATCATTTGGTAGGTAACTGATTTCTTACCGTAATGCTAGTCAGAGTTTTTGAAAATTAATCTGTTAATTATTGTGATTTTTAACATAACATTGTTGGACACATGTGATGACAATGCATGTCATAAACTATGGGTTTCAATTTCCAATATCAATTTATATTCATTCAGTCTTAAATATAAGATATATTTTATAATATAATTTAAAACCTAATTTACAGATAGGTCTTAATAGTACAGCTAAGAAGGGCCATTTACGGAATTGGAAAACGCTCTTGTGCTTTCAACTTCCCTATAACGCTTTTGTATACCAAAAAAAAAAAATCCTTATAACGCTATTTTTTTCCTTTTTTCTTTTTAACTTTCTCGTGCTCTTTATCAAGTTATTGTACCTAACTTATTTTGGCGAAGAAATGAAGTTCTTGCTTATTGGTTGATGGATTGATGAATATTGATATAAATGCTAACTATCTTAGATTGGTGAGGTGAGAAAACTGTATGTGTCCAAAACAGAGTTTGAATAGCTAGATTTTTTCACGGATTGGTCGTCAAAAATAACAGAGATCAAAGTATAAATTCTAAATGCAATGTAATTGATTGATTGATTTTATTTAAAATTGAAGTATTTTCAGCATAGATCTCCCATTGCTACTTGGTCTCTCTCGTTTTTACTTTGTGGCAAAGAAGAGAATGAATCTAAGGTTTTGATTGCCGAAGATGCAAGCGATATTGGACCATTATTTCCGCAAATTTCTCTCCGGGTCTCTGCTTTTAACAGGTATCAACTTCATTATGTCCGCATATTTTTCCCCGGGTCTCTGCCTCTAGTTTCCAATTTCCCTGGTCCGACAAACTTGATTGCTTATTCAAACTCCATACCTCATGAGAAATTGAATCACCTTCTATGGGTGACGAATGACATTTCCTTTCACCTGCTTCCATTTTGGGTTTGAGATCTCTTACCAGTAATCATTGCATGAGCACAGCCCATTTTTGAAATGGTGAAACCGATTACAATCTCTAACAATAATCTCTCGATCGAATTCCATAGACATAATCTTCATAGCAATATGACAATCGCCGCATATCCTCAAATTCTTTACAATTCGTATTGTGGTGCCCGAGCTTGTCTTCAGGAAGCAGTATGCAACTGCCAATTTTTCACTATGAACATATAACGCAGTCTCCTTTCCTTCCTCATCCAAATCAAGCAAGACCTCACTTGTATTTCCTGTATAACCATGCTTTTTCAACCTCTTTATGATTTCATCCAACATCAGGTGTATATTATGAGTTTCTGGGTGAGAATCATCTCCTGCGGTGAACTCGTGAAGAACACCGTCCATTTCAACCAAACTACAGCCTGGAACTTTCTTGATCCCCTTCGCCTCCATAAGATCTCTCAAGTGCCTCACTTCTCCCCACCTTCCCAGCTTTGCATACACATTAGAAAGAAGCACGTACGCGCTGCTATTTGAAGGGTCCAACTCAACAAGTTTCTTCAACGAGACCTCGCAGGTTTCAGTGTCTCCATGCATCCTAGCTCCACTAAGTAGAGATCCCCAGATTAGTACATCAGGTTCCATAGGCATGGATTTCACTACGCTCTGAGCTTCCTCAACTCTACCAGCCCTACTATATAGGTCAACCATGCAGCCATAATGTTGGATCAGAGGAATAATACCAAATTCTTTCGTCATCCTATTGAAATATTCTATTCCTTCACTTACCAAACCTCCATGCACACAGGCACAAAGCACACCCACAAATGTCACAGCGTTAGGCCTCACCCCATTATTTATCATCCTTGCAAATAATTCGAGGCACTCCTCTGCACGTCCATGGATGGCCAAGGCAGAGATCATTGCACTCCAAGCCATTACATCTTTTTCAGGGCCCAAAACATCAAACATTAATTTCGATTTTTCAATGTCTCCGCATTTTGCATACATGTCTATCAATGATGTCCCTAAGACGACATCAACTTTCATCCCACGCTTATCAATATAAGCATGAAGCCATTTACCCTGTTCAAGAGCACCTAGCCGTCCACAAGCTGAGAGTACGGCTGAAATGGTGAACTCATTTGGTTGAAGATTCAGACCTCCGAACATCTGCAAGTCACAAAATAAGGAAAGTGCCGCCTTATACTCACCACAACTTACATAACCATTAATCATACAGCTCCACGATATGACATCCCTCTGAGGCATCTCGTCAAACAGTTTCCTTGCAGCATCAATCATACCCACCTTAGCATTTGCATGGATAATGGAATTCCAAGACGGCAAGTCGGGCTCAGGGATTTCATCAAATACTTGGCGGGCAAGAATCAGATCACCACAAGACGAGTACATATTGATAAGAGATGTTTGCACGAACGGGTCATTTGATAGACCAAATAGGAATGCTTGAGCATGAACTTGTTGTCCAGGACGAAGATGAGATGGGGATTTAAAGGATTGGAGAAGGAAAGGATAGGTGTGAAGATCGGGCACGACGCCATGGAAGCGCATGCGGCGGTACACGATGAATGAAGAATGTGATGAGACGGCTGAATGGTGAACTCTGGCTCGAATGAGGGTATTCCAGACCCAAGATTCAACGGTGGGATGTAGAAGATGAAGACTTGGGTGCGTAGAAGAAACCAGTTTCGGGGATGCCCGCATAGGTCATTGACGACGGGAGGTTGTTCCAGCCGCCGGCCAACGCAACAAGGGCTCGTTTTGTTAAATTTGGATCGAAGTGCAGTTCGGACTACAGGCCGCGATTTTTTTCCCTTCCGCCGTTTTTTTTTTTAGCGCCACCATCGCTGGCCGAAACTTGACACCGAGATTTTTTTTTGGCCAGACACTCAGAAATTGAAGTTACCATGGTATTAATTTTCTTCAACGCCTTTTTTTAGCAACTTAACTTCTGGTTATATAGAACTACTTCATTAATTTTATCCAGTAATCATTTTAATTTGATTCAGACTAATTTAGCAAATCAATTGATTTTTTTTTTTGCAAAAGAAAAATCATTATAACGATTAATAAATTAAATTCAAAATATTTACTTAATAAATTATCATTTATAAATCATTGTATATTTAAAAAAAGTTTTTGCACAAAGAATTGACATTTTAATCTCAAGGGTAACTTCAATAATAAAATCAAAACTATTAAGATAAAGGACTCATAGTAAAGATTGAAGGCTAAAAATAATTTATTATTAGGAAAAGAAGAAGAAGCATTGAGCTTAAGATATGCAGAGTGAAAATTAGCTAAACCCTCGGAATTGAGTTAGAAACAAGCAAATCGCACATAGGAAACCCTAACTGTCCTGACGCCTAACAAACCTTGTCATTTGACGATTGACGAGACTGGTCATGTTTAGTTTCATCACTTGGGTGGATTTCAAACTGGACTACTTTCCAACCTTCAGCAGAGAGACTGTGAAGCACTGGCAACGCCCAAGCCGTTGTTAGGCTTTAACACTGCTTCCATTGAGAATCTGCATCCCACAGGCAAATGCCCCTTTTATTTTTCCTGCTTTTAACAAATTCTACTCTAGCTGGCTAATTGTTAAAAAATTCAATAAATTATTTAAAAATATTTACTTTCTTCAAATTATTTTTTTATTTATAAATTAATATGTAATCTAATAATACATATAAATATTTTTAAAAAATGACATAAAACATATTATAACTAAGTAATTTACTTCACTCTTTTCATTTTTTCAAATTAGGCAATTAAATTTTATATTAAGAAAAATATAAATAAATCTCGCATCATGTTCTCAGTTCTCACTATTTCTAAGCATTTTGTAGCCTTTAGACGATCCATCTAGTTTAAGGAAGTTCTTTTGATGACTCATTTAATTTGACGCTTAGTTCCCCCGACCTGAGTCCCATATCTGCCACTCTGCCAGAACGCTTAACCAATGAAACGCTCTATAAACACCCCAAAAGAAAAAGAGAGCGTGTTTAGAAGAGTTGGGGGTAAGGAAAGAAAAGAAAATGAAAAAAAACAATCCACACACGAGCAAAGCCCTGGTAAACAATACGTACACAGTAATAGAGTTAAAAAATGTCTGGAAACCAAAAGAACACTAATTAAAAAAAAAAAAAAAGCTTCGCGCAAATAATACTCCTCTTACAGTCACTTTTAATACCTGATTTAGTTTCCACACAGACACTTTCAAAATGCCAACCAAAAACAAGATCCTCAATATGCTAAAGGCATTATATTCCAGCAGCATGGAAGCCACTGCTAGAGCTTGCAGACTTAATTCCCGTTGATTTTTAAAAAAAAAAACTTAATCCTAGTGGCATGGGAACTCCTGTGAGAGCTTGCAGACTTAATCCCCAATATGCCAAAGGCATCATATCATACTGTTAGGGTTTGTCACTCATTTTGTTTTTTGGGAGAAAAAGAAAAAGATGAAGAGGATCTCCACTATAAATGCAGCACGAATATCTAAAAGTTCTTGAGATGACCTCGCCAATAATGTCTATAAAACAACGTAAGGACATAAGGCTGAACATAAAAGAAACGCAAGAATATGGAAGAACAGTTGGCAAGCCAATAGTCAAAACTGATAAACACGATTCCACAATAACTAAGCCTAACGTAACACATAATTAATCAACGCAGCTAAAGACATATTTAGTCTTCATCCTCGCCCTCATTCTCAGCAATGTTGAAGTATCTGAGCTCATAAATATTGCGATCCTTGTTAGCAGCAATAACCCGAAGCCAATCCCTCACGTTGTGCTTCTTCAAATACTTCTTAGTTAAATATTTCAGATATCTGAAAAGGTGAAACCAAGAAAAAAAGATATAAGCATATATCGCGAGGATTTGAAATCTAATCACTAGATAAGAGAACACATAAAATTTGAACACACACAACTGTTCTATCATGAAACTAATGTATTGTTACTAGGCGTGTCTATCTCTTTTCTGCTTCCCTCCCACACTCATCAATTGAATGGTCACTGGAACAACCAGCTAGGTATGTCTATGTCTTTTCTCATCACGGTAGAAGACATAACAAAGCAGAAGGCATAAATTTACTTTATTGCTTTGAAACATGAGAGATGACATTGTATATAGTTGAGAGAATATGAAAATAAAACAATTATTCGTCAGATACACTTGGGGGAATATCACAAAATAAAACACAATCAATTCTACGATTACGGCATCTCCATCTTTTGCATCTTACGCCGAAAGATAGCATTAAAAGAAATTTGAGAATTTGTCACAGCTAATGACGTTGAAAAGTAACAGGCCACATAAATATATCATTTTGATCTCAGAGCCAAGACCGTGGTGCTACTTCTGATCTCTTGTTCAACTGATCTATTAGAGCGACGACATCAAGTAATAATGAATTGCAATTTGAAAAGAATATTCATTAAATGAGGCGCAGTCAAGGGGGTCGAAATCCATCGCCCATGAGCAAGCATTGTCACATGAAAAAACTAAACGCTGCAGCCGGAACTAAAAACATCATTGAAGAGTGAAGACGAAAAAGTTACCTCTTGGAGAAGTTGCTGTCGGAGGTGACGGTAATCTTGCTCTTGTCGCGACTAACAGTGACGGAATCGCCAAGAGCACCAGCCTTGCCACCAACTTTAATCCTCTCCTGAAGGAATTTCTCCAGAGAAGCGATGTCCATGATCTTATCTTCAACTGGTTTCGCACAGTCGATCACGAAGGTGGCTCCCTTCCTCTTGCCCTTAGCCCCTGTAGATGCTTTGCGGCTCATTTTCGCGTCTCCGACTATGCTCTGAATCCCAGGGATGGTGAAGAGAGACAGGGGCGGCCTCAATCGCAATATGCTTTTAATGGGTTTCCCTCACAGATTTTAGGGTTTCTGGGGTAAAAAACGACAACATCTAGTGTCGTCTCTCTCGCTCTCTGTGTTTTTTTTTTTTAAATCCTTCTTGTGGGTTGCACAAGTACTCTTTTGGGCCAATTTTTTATTATTTTATTTTTAATGAATAAACCCTCGGCCGAAAAAATTTAATGAATAAACCTCGTTCTCTTATTCTCTCCTTCTCTGCTAGAGGCCCAATAAACATTGTTGGATAATTTTTACTGGGTTGGGCCATTAACAACACGTGTGTAGAGGGCCCACTTAAAGTACATTCCATCATTTCAAGTTGGGAACCCGCCGCTCTGATGCCTGGCGAGGAGAGGATCGGGGAATGGAAGATGGAAGACGACGTATACGGCGTCGTTCCGTGCTCTTCCCTCGCCGTTGAGTCAATCATCCGCGTCGGAACGGTAAAAACGTCTATCCTAGTTGCATTTGCTCCTTGATTTCCATACTTACGGTTCTTGCTCGATACATGAAGATTAAATGATTTTGTAAATGCTAAATTCTGCTTCAGGCTGGTGCTATCTGGGGCCTGTGCAGTGGTCCCTATGACGCTCGTAAACAAGGTTCGGTATTCATTGTATCAATATCCAAGTATCACTTCGATTCTGAACTAGGTCGAATGAAGTAGACTTCCATGTTTGCAGGTTTTACTGGCCTTGCCCGAGCTTCTTTTGTGGTAAGGAAGTTTTTATTTTGAAAAACTGGTACTTGGATTTCCATCACAATTAGCTGATGACGCTTAATACAGGCTAACTCAGTCGGCAGATTCGGGTTTCAATGTGGTAATTGAACTAAGAAAATTGATTGTTTGTGTTGTTCTAGCGTTTTTTAAGGCTTTTTATTTTAACACGCTTTATTTTAATTTCAATGTTAGGACTTGTGGCTGGAATTTTTAGCATTACTCGATGTGGGATTCAGAGATACAGGAGTCAGGATGATTGGGTTAGTTCTGTCTTATTTATTCTTCGGTTATTTTTGAAATCGTTAGGAAAACGACTTGATACAAATGGGCTTGAATTTCTCTTCATTTTGACCAGCTAAAGCGATGGTTCAAGTGTTCTGCATGATCAATCTTGAATAAATGTAGATCCACTGTAAAACTTGGACTTTGTACTTCACAAATGATGGTAGAAACAAACTTTCCAATAATTTTTTTCCCCCTTCATAAATTTCATCCACAAGTTGTGTTCATTGAGTTTATATAGTTCTTGCTTTATATTGTGGTTATGAGATTGACTGACGGTTTCAATGATTAGTAGTCATGTCTGACAAAGATACCGAGATGATGGTATAAAACCATGATGTGATTAGTTCTTGTTTAATGTATAAAATTTAGCATTAAGTAATCTTGATTGTGTTGGATCATCCCAAAATGAATTTCATATTTCTCCAACAAACCATACGATTTATCTCTAGTTTGACTTCTTTGACTGAACTAGCAGCTTTGTGTGATCTGTGATCTTGTGTTTGCATTCTGATGGTATGTTACCTATAGTTTGCGTGTCCAGACGATCCACACGTGGGACAATATCAGGGCCTGGATTGACCTCAACTCTTGTCACCTGAGTTATCTTTAAGGGGCTTAAGGCCTGAAATTCTTGTTAACTGCTTGACCACAGACAAGACTTTTCTGTTAAAATTGTGTTCCACTGCAGCAGGTTTCAGACCTAGTGTGTCAGAATTTCTTTTATTCGTTTCATCTACCGTCCCAACAATTTCCATCACAGCGATCATGGCAGACCCTGATGCCTTAATGTAGACCAGCTTACAGCACATCAACAATAGTGTGGCTTAGTTTGAGCATTAGAATTCTTGAAAGTTTGAAATTAATTGAAATGGTTGCAGTGCATTTTCCCCGGAAATGGAGAGGATTTACACCCACCATTTTGGTTCTGGACAGTCTTACGAGATAGTGCATTTTTAACTCTCTTAAAATGAAATCTAGTTCAAACATATATCATGGTTCCCTATTGACAGGGTGCAAATATCTAAATTTTATATTTTGAAATACAAGTTCTGGCATTTTTGTTGGAGAAAAACATTTCACCCTATAGATATATATATTCATAAACTGTCGTTGGATATGCAGGAATTTAACAGTTGATGAAGAATACATTTTGAAGATAGCCAAACGGATTGTTAAAGAATGAATTTTGATTTACCTTTTTCCTTCTATTTGAAAATTTTCTGACAGGTCAATGGTTTGATTGCGGGTGCTGTAGCAGGTGCAGCCGTTGCTTCTGGGACAAGAAACTGGACGCAGGTAATTGGGATGGCTTGTTTGGTTTCAGCTTTCAGTGCTGCCGCTGACTACTCTAGAACATCTTGAAATGACATTCCTTCGAAGCATGGACAGAAGAGTAACATATTCGAGAATTCGGGCTTTCCTAGCGTACGCCAACAACTGTATTTGTTCTTTAACAGCATATCTTTCTCATATCTAAGGAAAAACGGGTGGTTAGAGTGGGCATGGTTTTTTGTCTTCCTTGTAATTGTGCAGAACCATATTGTACGCGGTTCAAGCATTACAAGTCGATGGATGATTTACTGAAAAGCAGTCGATCTGTTACTATTGCAGTGACAGTTGTAGAATTGTTATCTTCTATATCATAAAATTGCATAGGTGTGAACAAACAGGTCATATCAGTTATGAGAACCAGATTATTTTCCATCAGATGTTTATTTTGCTCGTATCTAAGGTCTGCCTTTTAACATTGAAAATTTGATGCTCGCGTGTCGGAATCAGCCCGAAGGAGGCCTTGGTCCTCGATCGCCCTATGGTTTTATATCCCTGACGTTTTCTGAAACCGCATTTGATAACAGGACTGAACTTTCTCTGGTAAGAGCATTCTTATTCATCAGTTCCACCCAGGTGTCAGTACTTATTCATCAGCTGGCTGGCTTCTGAAAAAAATGGGACAAGTCAAACTGGTTGAGACGAGTTACTGGTGGAGTTGGCTGAATTTTGGATAGGCGTGCTGGCATGCGTTTGCAATAGAACGGGCGTAGTGAGACTGAGACGCCGAGAAGTAACCAGGGCATGTATTAGGAATTCAGGCACAAAGGCAACCAAAATTGTCGTTGTTTGCACCATGGCTTGGCTGCAGCGGACCATAGCCTCTTTAATTATTTCACAACAGCTGCATCTCCGCCGAAAGTTAACGGTGTTCAATTAATGAACCTTTGTATCCTTTTGTTCCTTAATAAACAAAAAAATGCCTACCGCGTCATGGGGTCTGTGACTGTGAGCTATGACGCAGTAGATCTTGCGTAATTGTGAAATTTTCATTCGTTAATGATGAAAAGCATTTCTACCACGATAATACGTTTCCCATAATTCTGCAAACATTGCATGAAATTTCCTCTCGCCTCTTGCGGATGAGGTTCTTTTTGTCCAATAGAACGATTGGCTCCATTTCATAAAGACACAGAAGCCATACTACCTCAACGCAATGTTGAAAAGATAGATTATTTGGAAGATACATGAGAATGAGGAGAAGATTACAATCACAGGAGATCCATATATTTTTGCCTTGAGAGTTCTATTCAGAGGAACATCGTATGCCAATATTATCTGACTCGGGTACAGAACCCGGCAAAGATCAAGCATGCAATGATGTTGGGGCGGGTGGAAAAGAAATCGCGGAATCAATAAAAATGTAAATGCGTATAATAATAACAAGAATAATAAGTATAACTAATATCTTATACATAAACATCCCAACAAAGCAAAAACAAAAAATGGACGGGGTAGAAATGTAAGAAATGTGACCCTCCCTCTGGCTTGGCTACCAATCTTGAAAAGGGTAAATACGAAAATCCATAAAGTGATGGATCTTGAGGATGAGGATATGGGGAAAGACCCCCTAACTCTGCCTTCAAACTACAACCACGCTCCCCTTTTCTGTGTTAAATTGGTGGTTCCAACCAAGAATTAGGTGGAGGTTGCACCTTCCTTGTGGTCACCAAAAATGCGTTGTCGGAAGTCAGAAACCATTAAAGGCAGTCCCTTGCGCAGGGACACCTTGGGCTCCCACCCTAATAGCTCCTTGGCCCTTGAAATGTCAGGCTTCCTCTTGTGTGGGTCATCCTCTGTGTTGGGCTTGTACTCTATTTTTGCATCTGGGTCTATTGTCTCTTGCACCACCTGCATCACCAGCATCATTCGTTTGTTTGGTAAAATTCATGGTCATACCTGCATATGCCTTGCCACCAGCCAATTACATTGGTCTGGTTTTAAGAATCTTTATTATCATTGAGAACAAAGGCAGAGCTTACCTTGGCAAGTTCGAGCATGGTGAATTCACCAGGATTTCCGAGGTTGAAAGGTCCCACATGCTCTCCCTCCATAAGCCGCATCAGACCCTCAACCTGTGCCACAATATTAAAAAAAGCATCTCACTTATCTCGTTCTTATCCAACAACCTTAAGATTAAAATTATGACCACCACGTGTTATCTTTAAACTTCATTGTCACTAAAGATACATCTATCCTTGTCTTACACTCGGCCACCCCACATTTTTTCTTTTTTTAACTTTATCTTGTACCACCCAGAGCTTCCATTTTGAGAGTTTCGGTTAATATTTTGTATCTTCTTGCAGTTGAAGTTACTGCAAGAACTGGCCCCCCGGCTCGTACATTTCATTCTCGATCACATGCATCTGCATCTTCTGTACCACTATGCATGCACAACCGACGCAAGTATTTATGGGCAACTAAGTCATTTTAAACATCTAGCAGAATGATGCAGAATGCAAATAACAGATTTACAAATGCCAGGGCCCATTCCAGTCAGAACGCCAGGAATTGTTTGTGACATGCACAGTATGCACATGGGAAAAGTGAAACAGATTTAGCTTTTGAACAGGTGAAAAAAGGCTCAAAAGCAACCACTTCTCTCTTTGGATTCAAAACCAATTTGATATTCGGAATGATAACGAACACCTTTATCATTCTATCAAAACATAGCACCACAAAAATTGGCTTACCAAATCAGAAACATACTGAAAACTCCGTGTCTGCTTTCCATCCCCATAAACAGTCAAAGGCTCCTTTCTTAGTGCCTGCAAGAACCCCACCGATTATTGGTATTAACAAATCAACTGAACAGCTCATTTCTACAACACACCCTACATTATTAGTTATACTTCACTTCCAAATAAAATAAATAAATAAATAAACCCACCTGAGCAACGAAGTTACTGACAACACGACCATCGTCTAGGCACATCCGGGGACCATAGGTGTTAAAGATTCTAGCAATTCTAACCTGTAATGAAAAATAAATAAAAGACAAAAACGAATTTAGTCTTCAAAAATAAGCCAAGCATGAGCACTCGGGTGGGCAGAATAATGAAATATGCAAGGTTGTAATGGAAAATGACCTCAACGCCTGCTCCTCTGTGGTAATCCATTGTCAATGTCTCGGCCGTACGCTTTCCCTCGTCGTAGCAACTTCGGACACCTGTCGCACATCGGCGCAACACAACAGACATCCATAAACGCTGTGTCTATTATTCAGTATTAGCCTTGCTTCAGGCCCAAAAAAAAAAAAAAAGAGTATTGGCCTTGCAATTTACGGACCAAAATGCCCTCACCGTTTTACCCTTTTAACGCACAAGTACAACTGTTAATTTGTTATCAACAAGTTACGGCGGGGATTTCCTTCACGCAAGCCATGTGTGCCCTCGAGTTTTAAAGAAGATCTCAACCCTACATCTAGTGGACCCGCAAATCACGGGTTCCTCGTTGACCGTGAAATTCCGACTGGATCTGTAAACGTGGTCCTCTCACCCAATCCCACGTGTCTAAGCAAGCGTTTTATTTCCTTTTTCCCAATTAGAAAGAAGTTGGCGCCGGAGGAATAAAACACTCCCCCAGTCCCCACCCAACCCTTCTTAGGTACAGATACATTCAAAGCTTTGAAGCCGGCCAAATTAGAATCTAAAACTACGCCCATTTCTGAGCATGTTAGTGAAACGACGCTAAGGTACGCTAAAGTGTACCGTTCCACACGGAGCAAAAAGAGGACCAGTTCCACCCAATTTCAGGTGCTAACTGACCGAATGAACAGACTGTGGTGATATTTCGGCTGGTTCAGTGGAAACGGTAAGAAAATTGTGTGTGTGTGTGTGTGTGTGTGTGTGTGTGAGAGAGAGAGAGAGAGAGAGTACTCACCAATTGGATTGACGTTGCCCCAGTAAGTCTCCTTCTGAGGGTGTTGAAGAGGATCGCCGTAAACCTCACTGGTACTGGTGAGCAAAAACCTTGCGCCGACTCTTTTGGCCAGCCCCAGCATGTTCAAGGTTCCCACCACATTGGTCTTGTGAACAATAACACAATTAAGGACTCCAAAAAACGGAATAAGAAAGAAAACAGAACATAGAGAACATATTCTTGACCAATAAATTGAACAATTGGACTGGGTCAACCAAAAAGGATATGATAGTCTTGACGGGGTTGAACTTGTAATGGACGGGAGATGCAGGGCATGCAAGATGATAGATCTGATCCACCTCCAGCAAGAGGGGCTCGACGACGTCGTGTCGGATGAGCTCGAATCTGGGGTTCCCAAAGTGGTGCATCACGTTCTCCTTTCTGCCGGTGAAGAAATTATCGACGACGATGACGCTGTCGCCTCTAGCAATCAGACGATCCACGAGGTGAGAGCCGACGAAACCCGCACCGCCCGTAACCACGATGCGGAGCCCCTTTCTCTTAATCCCCAGGGGAACCTTCCCGAAGGAATGAACAGGCATCCTATGGGGGAGAGAGCGGTCGATCCTGGGCTCATGGAACAAAGGGGCAGAGTCGTGCTCGAAGAAAGGAACAGAGAGAGAGTCAGAACGAGGAGGGGAGCGAGAGGAAGGGAAGAAGGTGAAGAACAAGGAGGCGATGGCAATGCCGAGGAGGATGAAGAGGGGGCGCTGCTCACGGAGGAGATAGCGAATAGGGCGGGTGACGGAGAGCCAAGGCTTGAGGGGCTTAGGTGAGTAGGAATCATGGACGGGTTGGGACTCATGGCCTCTGAAAATCAGTTCGGATGCCATGGCGGCAGAATTCGGAGGATGGATCCGAACTGAGTTTGGCGGATGGAGAAGGGATCAGTATTTGGGGTGGATCCAAGGGTGCGTGGATGTATATAAAGGGAGGAGATGGTGTGGCGGAGGCTTTTGAATAGTGGTTCGATTACAAAAAGGACAGGTGAGGTGGTGTTTGAAAAGTAAAAGGGCCTTCAGAATTTAGAGTTACGACTTGTAACCAAAGCAAACTCGCCCATTAGCCTAACACACTCTCACATGTTCGTGTTCATTTGTCTTTTTGACTTCAATGCTTCCCTCTTGCCCTGTCCACCCCTCTTGTCTCAAAAATTTGTGTTTTGCTCGCCACACAAATAAAATTACATGTTCCTGCACGCCGAACTACATCATACATTTTAAAAGATATATTTATCATCGAGGAAACATAAAATTTTAATTATCAAAAAGAGATTTGAATAGGTCAGTTACGTCATGAATATAATCTCTCTTCAGTTGTTCCATATTTGTTTCAGCATCCCATGGTTGCATTTATATTTGTGCGCTATGTCTTGTTAAAACAATTATTGCCATAACATTTCGGCCGACAAAAAGTATCACCGAAGGGGAAAATCTGTATTTCCTGTATTGGCTCCGCACTGAAC